AGTGATAGCAGCGGTTCGGTGCGTCGTTCGATTTTTTACAGTCGGCAGTATTATGGTTATCAGAACATCTGGCACAAACGTGGGGTCTGTTGCAATATTTTTTCGTCAAATTAAACTGATTCTGAGTGGTCCTTATGCATGAACTAATGGAGTAATGCTAACATCTGTAAATAGACGGCTTAATCAATATATAAACTAGTGGGGTGTATGGCATCTTGCCTTAAGGCAAATTGCTGGAACTTCTTGTACCTTAACGAAATGTTCGAGAAATATTAAATGTTTTCAAATAGATTATTATAAATATTGTAACAATGTCTGATCTTTATAAGAATTATTTAAACTGAATTGCAAAGTTAAAACTATTTATTTGAAATATATAAGTTTTAAACTTTAGTCAGAATCAATATTAAAATCTGAATTATTTTCCATATACAAAAAAAAGTTTAGAAAAAAAAAATAAGCCAAATTTTTTTTCAAAAGCAATTATTTTGTCAAAACAAGCAGAAAGTTCTTTGGAGAAAGTATGTGTGTGTGTGTGTGTGAACAGATTTTTTGCTGAAAATCGGCGTTTTCTCAAAAAAACGGCTGGACCGATTTTAAAAATTTAAAAGCCATTCGATGTATCGCGATGAGGACAAGCGTTTATCAATTTTGCGCGACGACCGGCCAAGTCGTTTCTTTGTAAATACCAGAAAAGTGAAAAAAATTTTGTCCACGTTTTAGCCCGCAGTTCTGAATCGATTTTGAAAATTCAAAAACCGTTCGAAAGATATTGGTTGGGAATCGTGCTGATGAGTTGTTGGTAGAGATCGGCCTGGCCGTTTTCTTGTAATGAAGTGTTGAAAAAAATTTTTGCGGGTAGATACCATAGTCTTTTAGATAATACAAATACGGCCACACGACAACTCGTTTAGCTTTAAAAATTCGTCAAAGTTTGCAAAAATTAGTATCGTTTTTTTGGCATTTGTCAAAATTAGACTTTTCATCGGCGATTGCTCAAAAACGTCTGGACCGATTTCAGAAATTTAAAAACCACTTGATGTGTCTAAATGAGGACTAACGCTTGTCAGTTTTGTGCGACAATCGGCCGAGCCGTTTCTTTTAAATTTGGAAAAAAAAATTAAACATTTCGTCCACATTTAGGCACAAACTACCGATTCGATTTTAAAAAATTAAAAACTGTTCGAAAGATATTAGTTGAGAATGAAACTGATTAGTTTTAGGTGAAAATCTACCGAGCCGTTTGCTTGTATTTCGTCGTTGAAAAAAATATTTGAGCCGATTTTTATGAAACTTTTTTTGATGATATATATCATGATCTTATACAACTTATTGAAATATTACGGCCTTACAACAAGTAGTTTGATTTTGAAAATTCATCAAAGTTTGAGAAAATGAGTAGTTTTTTTTGACGTTTGTTAAAATTAATTTACTTGGTTTATCGATAGAGTACTTGGTCTTAATAAACATACTAAACCATTAAAATCCTACGACAACTAGTTCAATTATAACAAATATTGAATTTTGAAAATTTGCCTTTAGAAAATACTCCGAGTTAATGTCTTCGTTTTCAATTATGTGTGATATTGTAAATCCACTGGGAATACCTTGAATCCCTCATAAATTAATTTATTTTTTACTGAAAGTCGATTATTAACCATTTTCGGGAAGTTCATGTAACTTGCCTAAAGGCAAAATACCAATACAAACTAGTTAAAAAATGGTTTGAATATTACACATTGATGGAAAACGAACACATACGAAATACGAAGCCGAATACATATACACGGTGAATTTTTTAAAAGCGCGGCCAAATAATCCAAACTTTAATTATCATAAGTAAAACCACTTGTCGTAGGCCTTATTATAGTTTAGTACGTTCATTTAGAGTAGAAAATTTATCGCCATGCAAAGTTTCATTTAAATCGCCAAAAAATGTGACAATCTATTATGAAAAAGAAACGACTTGACCGATCTTCGAAAGAAACTATTTATTTCCAAATGATATCAATCGAATAAAAAACGGTTAAGAATTTTTTACAAAAACATGGACGATAATTTTTGCACTTTTCTGCCAATAGTAAAGAAACGGATCGACCAATTGTCTCAAAAAACTAATCAACGCAAGCGCTTATCCAGTTTCATCTTATAGTTTTTAAATTTTAACATCGGTTTAGACGAGAAAACATCGAGGAAAGATCGAATTTTGACTCACTTCAAAGACGCAGATTGTTTTTTAAAAAATACACATACACTTGTCATAGGCTAAGTAAATTTGAGCAATTATATTGTGAAAACTAAACGAAAAACATAACAACCAATAAGACACAATAAACTAAAAAACATCTGACTATATTTTAGTACAACCTCCAGTTAATTCATCACTGTAAAAATGTGTTTTTTTGCTGTTTTTAAAAAATTTGTCACTTGGTCTTTTTTTACCCCAAAGGCGTGGTAAAATCGGACGGCGAGAGGACAAACAATCCAATTTACTATTTTTAATTTTAAAAGGATTTAACGAAATAATAGCTACATTACTCAACCAATAAAAAATATGAATTTTATAGATACATTTTTCACAGAGATAACTCTGTATTTGATACTTTGTCCAATATCTTATCTCTTGATTTGATATTTTGTCCAAAATATTCACCAGCAGAGTTGAAATAAAGATTTATTTCATTTATCTTTTGTTAAAATGCTTTTTTTAACGTCGTAAGAATCAGGGTGATGGCTAGTTGTACATTTTTTCCTCTACTTTCAAATATTGTTGTTAAGAAATCCTTAAGAAATAACTTTACTTGTTTTTGAGATATCGGTGGTGGATCTTTTTACCCGCAAATATTTAAGCCCCGCTCTATATATATATATATATATATATATATATATATATATATATATATATATATATATATATATATATATATAATTTGTTACATACTCATTGAGGACTATAAAAACTTTTTAATTATGACCCCCCCTGTCGCCGAAGCTGGATCCGCCACTGTGTGTCATCATTCAGTAATCTAAAAAACATAAAAACATATAACATAAATACAAAGTTGATGATAAATATAAATATATAAAAAGGAGGAAATTATGCATACCAAACCAGGAAAGACAACAGAAAAAATTAATTATGATGTAAAATTGATTGAACACTAAATTTGTGTAAAATAATAAAATACTATTATATTAACAAACGAGAAATTGAAGGAGCACATATTGCCTTCCTATATTTTATGTTATTAATAGCGGTGCATTATGGACCCTGATCAAGGTTACAACGCAAGTGTAGTCACGCACGTGTAATGAAGGAGTGGGAGCGGGTTGTGAGAAACGAAAGGGGAAAGAGAAACAGAAAAGAAATATAACGAACGAAAGATTCTAAAACTGTATAGAATTAAGAGCTAAAACTTTCAGAGAATTGTTTTTTATCAATTTGGAACCATTGGAGACTTGGGAGCAAGGAAATTCGAAAATGTACATATTAAGGACCACCCTGATTTATATATATATATATATATATATATATATATATATATATATATATATATATATATATATATAGTGATGTGCCAAGTCGAATCAAGTGATTCGAATCATTCGAATCAAGCCTTTAACGACTTGATTCGAATCAGATTTTACTTGATTCGAATCAACTCGTATCAAGCCGCGAAATATTTACTGTGATAAAATGTATTAACACAAATTTTCATAAATATAAATTTTTCATAAATATAAATATAAAAAAAATGTTTTAATTTAATTCAATATTATAATAATATAAAAAATAAATATCATAAATATAAAAAATAAATAATGAATTAAATCATGCGAGCTACCCGACTTTAATATGCCTAAATGTATCAGCCGACTTCAATCGTCTTTATATGACTTTAACCGCATTCATCGACTAACTATATCATCCGACTTCATATGAGTCAAACCGAATCAAGCGGCGATATGAGTTATTCCGACTTCATGACTCAAACCGAATCAAGCGGCGATATGAGTTATTCCGACTTCATGACCCAAACCGAATCAAGCGGCGTTATGAGTTGTTTCGACTTCAATTCGGATTCGAATCATTCCGACTTCAAGCCGTTCGAGCTATATGAGTTCAAACGATATGAGTTAACCGTATGGGCGATATCAAGCGACTTCGAAACAGCTACAATGCGTCGTCGTTCTTGCGTGTTTATTTATTTTGCGGTGCGCTTTATTTATTTTGCGGAGAGCGATTTTGTTCGTAAAATTAGATTTTAAATGTTATCAGAATAAACCACTCGAAATTATGAAACGCGTTTCGGGAATCTTTCAATATAATTCTCTTTTGAAACAGTTACTAAACACCAGAAAGTCAGTAAATAATATGTTAACTTCTGAATTCACATGAATGAAATTAACTTTCAGCTCTCAGTTTAGATGCGATCCTTTACTGATTACATAGTAAAATAAACAATCGATCCATGATTCCAAATATTATTTTATATGCTTTAGTGATGCACAATTGTTTGGTAATCTATTATTGTAAATTAATTTGAAGATATGTTTCAGCCGTCCTCAAAATTATATCATTTTTAATAATTTTCAGAATATACTTTTTGATAGTAATTTATGTTTTCAATTTCTACTTTGTCGGTTATATTGGTTAAACTGACAATTTTGATTATAAATTTGGATCACTTTTACTAAATTAATACATCCATGATTTTTTTGTCCATATATATACTTGATTCGAATCATTCGAATCAGGAATTTTTCGAGTCGGCACATCACTAATATATATATATATATATATATATATATATATATATATGTGTGTGTGTGTGTGTGTGTGTGTGTGATTAATAATAAATATAGAGATACCTATTAGATATCTGTGTTTTATATTTTATATTTTAACCCCCTTTACACATCTAATTATCATTAATACTATTACTATATTTATTTTAATTAAATATTAAGATTTCTCAATAAATGATGTGTGTTTACAGTATTTAGAAAAATTATTAGAGGAATTAAAGGACATTACACAAAAATATTCAGATACTCTACTCTTGCAAATCTGCAGCATTACTCTCGATTGCCTTCGTAAAAGAGTCAGCATTTCTGTGAAATGTGATGTTGTACTATCTTCAATTGTCAATGAATGTGCCCAGAAGTATTACACACATCAGAATTGTGGCAAAGGATTATGGATGGGGTAAGGACTATATATTGTTGTTTATTTGACTTTTAAAAAATCTTCTGTGTTTTGCTTTTGAAAAATTCTATACATTGTAATAGATTTTTTGTAACATACCTGAATCATCTCAGTCATTGAACCATTATGTGGTAGATGCTTTATATTAAGTACAGAGGCTTTATATCCACTATAATAAGTTTTAATCAATGACGAAAATCTAAAAATTTTCAGAGTATTATTATTGCAATGAGCAATTTTTTTATAGTTAAAACGGATGGTCAAGGTTACGCAGCTTATGGCCATCTGTATACATTGATTTATTATATCATAAAATATGCAATAATACATTTGTTATGAATCTTTAACAGCACCTATGAATAGTAATATTATATAATCTAAGTATTGTTTCAGGCATAAATAGAATGATTATAAAATAAAAACAGAAAAATTAATCATAAATACATCTATTGATTTTTAAATAATTTCAAAGGTTCATCAAAGTCCTTATTTTACAAATTATTGTTAAGTTATTTTTTAGACTTATTAAAAGTGTAATAAAATTACATTTATTTTTATTATTATCATTATTATCATTGTGTTTACTAGATCATTTTCTTTTATCATATTTAGGAAGTCGATTCGGAAACTGAGATGTCCATGAACGAGGATAGTCCTTCCGTTGTAATTCCGTGAAGAAAATTTGCATATTTTATAAGTTGCACAATCTGAATTATTTGAATTTATGGCCTCATTTTTCAGAAGAAATAAACGCCTTTCGGAATGGTATCGTAGGCAATAGCTTTCCTATTGAGGTTTGTTAATTACAATATATGATTCAAAATTATTAATTAATTTCTAAATAGTGAATGATATTGTTTTTCTTTTCGAAGCATTTTCAATTTCGAAGAAGTTTGTTTTCTTTAAAATGTCCGATTTGCTAATTTTGAGTTTCTCCACATTTTAAGTCTTCTGAAACATTTGAGAACAAAATTAGAAAATGTATGTATATGTGTATCTGAACGAAAATTTGACCATACATCTATGTTTTCTCAAAAAAGGCTGCACAGACTCAAAAAAGGTAATGACTATTTTCTGAGATGATTGGCCCAGCAGTGTTTTGAGAACTAGTGTAGAAAAGTGCAAAAAATTTCATCCACACTTTTGCAAAAAAATCTTTAACTGATCTTGACAATTTGTCAGAATGATTTTGTTAGGCTTAAAAGGGGTTGACAAAAGAAACAAATTATCACGTGTATTTATTTTTTACCTAAATAAAAAAAAAATCAAATACAAAAAAAGCTAGTTGCGAATCTCATTGTGCTTTAAGGCAAATTGCTGGAACTTTCCGTACTGTAATAAGATATTCAAAGAACATTAAATATGTTTTCAAATATATTTTTATAAATAGTATAACTTTCATTATTCGTATTTTATCATTTCAAATATAAACTTAAATGCCATGTGATGCTTAACATAATTAGTTTAGTTTATTATATGATTAACTAGTGAATTATTGCTTTAGGGAGCGATTTATTGTTTATATGCCTGCGGAGCCTATCTTGCTTGGGAATTGCAAGATCTAAAATCAAAGAACGATATTGAACGAGCCGAAAAACTTAAATTAAATTTGGAAGGATACGTTGTAGTTTGCAATGGCATTATTTGCAATGTCGATGATGACGATATGTGTCGTGCGGTAAGTTGAGCAAAAATTAATATATATATATATATATATATATATATATATATGTTAGGGATATCCACCCATTTGTAATAATTATAAATAATATTGTTATGAATTCCCCTTTCATTTGTTACTATTCTCGTTAATCATGCTTTAATTTGTTATTATTGTTATTATTCGCGATCTTTCTACAACTTTACCGTGATGTCGCGATCCTGTAGAGACTGATTACTTTAAATAGTACTAATGAAAAGGCGTTTGTTCGCGACTTAATTATAACTAACCTATTTACACATAACAATCACTTATTCTAAAATTTTTCTTATTCTAACATGCAACTTATTCTAACCTTATCTTTAACCACGGCGCAACCAGTATCCATTACATGTCCAAGCATCTGGCCCGATTCACTTCACACACTATAGTTACATACTTCACTCCTATAAACTATACAAACTATACAAAGTGTACTTTCGGTTTGGGGACAGCTTCCGAAACGCTGTCCCCCTATGACGTCCTCTAGGCTTACATTAAAACATTTTTAACACTTTTGGACCGCATGCTTGCCCGCATGCTTGCCGACTCTGAAGCCCTGCAGACAACTCACACCCCTGACAACAACTACTTCAAGACTGTCAACCCCGCGGGCCTTCTGACACACTCAGAGATGGTTCTATACGCATATAAGGAGAGGGGTAGTTATGAGTTATTTTACATCTGTGTGTGGGTACTCACCAATAACCGTAACAATATTATATAACGACAAACGTTACGTTAATAATTCTTCGTTTAAATAAATTTTGTTTGAATTGTAGTACAGTCGGGTTAGAAAAGTCCATATTGTGTTTTAAAGTATAAATATGGTTAAAACAACATAAAAACAATTCAAAAAATCCGAGACAATTCAAAACTGTACTTGCAGACCATATTTATACTTTAAAACACAATATGGACTTTTCTAACCCGACTGTACTACAATTCGAACAAAATTTATTTAAACGAAGAATTATAGAAGGATCTTTTTAACTATTTATAACAATAAGACAATAAATAAACGGAATGAACTTAACACGCTGTGCGACACAAATCTCTTTTATTCAGATAACATTTCCAAATTTCTTACAAAACAATAAAAGCGTCGCGTAAAGAATTTGCAATTCTTTGCAAATGTGTAGAATCTTGGTAAAAATATTTTTTATGTCTTTCTGCATTATATATTCAAGCAGTGTACAAATAACACACTATCCATTTGTGATTGTTTAAAATTAGTATTTTGTGAAATTATTGTGTAATTTAATGTTTATAATACATAGTGTAGTGCATTACCATATTCTGATACCATGGATTATTAAAATTTTTAGTTTAACACTAAGATTAACTAATTGTAAGTACTATTTACTATTTTATTTTTTCTTTTCACTCCAATTCAATTGTTTTAGTTTTTAATTTTATTTTTAGTTTCCACTGAAAGAAATTCATGTTTTTTATTGATGTTATGCCCGATTATTAGGCTTTGTTAATAGTAATATAATATAGATATATATATATCATATATATATATATATATATATATATATATCTATATATATATATAATATATATATATATATATAATATTATACTCTTATATATATATAGATATATAGCTAGTATATATGAATCTCTCTTATCTATATATCTGTATATATTATCTATATCTCTCTATTATGGTAGAGTCTTATTTGTCTATATTTTTGTAGAGTTCGACAAGACTCCTATATTTTTGGATTCTGTTCGAACTCTACAAAAATATATTATTATATATTATATATATATAAGATTTAGATTTTTTACGTTTCGGAACTATATGAAAGACTATTTAAATATTATAACTACTACTAATGAGAGGCTTTTGTTCGTGACTTAATTAAACAATATTTTATATTTACACACATATTTATTACATTCTTAATCCATTCCTTGTTTTAAACTTATCTGTACAGAATCATGTCCATCAATGTCTATCGTGTCCATACTTTGGAATCCCGATTCACATTACACATTATATCACTTATTAATGATTTGATATTCTATTTTCGGTTTGGGGATAGCTTTCGATGCGCTGCCCCTCATAATCTTCTTTTTAGCTTACATTATTACCAAAATCTATTCTATAAAACATTTTGCGCACTGCACCGCGCTCATCTCTTCGACTTGTAACCGACTCATACCCTTAGGCTATTACTACCACTACCAAACAACTGTTAGAAGATTAAAATTATCAAACATAATAACGGCTACTAACATGAAAACACTCAGAAAATAAACATGAACTTATCTACACTTAGCACTATCATTTATATAAGAAAAAAAATACACTATCTGATAATATTCTTATTAACAGCTTTTCTAACTTTTTAACTGTTAGAAGACCGTTGCGCTCGAGTGACAATGATTCGTCATTCCCTCTCGATGAAATTTCATAATTATAGTGAAAATAATAAACATATGAAAAATCTGTGCCGTGTAAGTTTATTAAAGTAAATTATATTATTTGTGGTTACTATATTGTAATATATTTTATTAGCATCGAGTAGAGCGTATTTTTTTAATTACAGAAAATAAATTATCTTAATTGAATTAATTACAGTAAAATACAACTATTAAACAATATTAAGCCTAACATTAGTAATATCTAATACAATAACTTGAAGAAAAAAAAAGTAATAAAATTCAAATAGTATAATTGTTGTAGATCTTGAGAGTCTTCTTATGGTAAAAAAAAATCCTTTAAATATCCGTTATGCAATTTTTATTTGAGTCACATATCTGGAAAATAAAAATTAATACCAGTATCAAAAAAGAATATATAATATGAAAATAATTGTAATGATTAAATACTTAAAGTAGGAAAATGTTAAAATAATTTAGGGTAAAAATTAGAAAAAGTATTGAAAAGGGAAAAAAATTGTAACTGTTGGAAAACAAAATATCAATTATTATCAGTAGGCATTTCATTTTCAAAATAACGTTTGATATCGAAATTGGCAAACTCAGAAGTATCGTAGAAACTTTGAGCTTTTGAAAGTTTAACAATAGTATTATGAAATTGACGATCATTCAGTTTCCTAATATGTAGTGGGAGTAGATTAAATAGCTGTACAGTTTAAAAGTTGGTCCTTTTATAGTCAAATTTCTTGTTTTATAATAGGTATTCAACATGGAGGATAGGTTGAAGCGTTCAGGATTATTCTTTATGAATGACACCGTAATTAGCAAAAATATACAGGGAACAGTGAGAATGTTAAATTGTCGGAAAAGATTCCTACATGAGGACAAGGAACTGAGGGAAAAAATTATTCTTAATGCTCTTTTCTGTATTTTGAATATATCCTTTAAGGATGATGAGAATAGCCAGAATTGTATTCCATAAGCGAGATGCGAATAGAAATTAGAATATTTATTATTAGAATATATATTTTATTTTATGTTTAAAATAAGAATTTTTGAGGTTATTAAAATGGAAATTATTTTTATAGGCAAAATAGATACTGGAAAATATCTGCATTTTTATAGAGATATATAAAAAGCCGATATATAAAGAAGATAGAACTTTTTTAACTTCCCGAAGGAAAAGTTTATATTTTCATTAAAAAATCCGATTCACTAATTTTATGTTTTCTCGACGTTTCAAGCCATTTTGAATCGAATAAGACCAAATTTGATTTATGTGAACAGATTTTTTGCCGTAAATTGACGTTGTCTCAAAAACCGCTGGACCAATTTTAAAAATTCAAAAGCCGATCGGCCGGGCCGTTTCTTTGCAAATCGCAGAGAAGTGAAAAAAAATTCGTCCACATTTTAGCGCGCAATTTTGAATCGATTTTTAAAATTCAAAAACCGTTCGATAGATATTGGTTGGGAATCGTGCTGATTAGTTTTTGGTAAAGATGGGTTGGGCCGTTTTCTTGTAATAAAGTTAAAAAAAAAAATTCGACGATTTTTATGATTTTTTTACGGTAGTTATCACATACTAAAATATTACGGACCTACGACAAATCGTTTAATTTTAAAAATTCTTAAAAGTTTACAAAAATTAGTATCGTTTTTTGGCATTTATCAAAACTAGGCCTTTGATCGACGTTTTCTCAAAAAAGCCTGAACCGTTTTCAAAAATTTAAAAACCACTTGATGTATCTCAATGAGGACTATAGTTTGTCAGTTTTGTGAGACGATCTGCCGAGCCGTTTCTTTGTAATTTGAAAAAAAGTGGTAAACTTTTCGTCCACATTTAAACTCATTCTACCTAATCGATTTAAAAAAAACAAAAACTGTTCGAAAGATACTAGTTGGGAATGGTACTGATTAGTTTTAGGTGAAAATCTACCAAGCCGTTTTCTTGTAATTAACTGTTGAAAAAAAATGTAAGCCGATTTTTATGGATTTTTTTTTGCAATATATATCATGGTCTTATAGAACTTACTGAAATATTACGGTCTTACGACAAATAGTTTAATTTTAAAAATTCATCTAAGTTTGAGAAAATGAGTAGTTTTTTGACTTTTGTTAAAATTAAAATTCTAACATTAGCCATTAAAATTCTACGGAAACTGGTTCAATTATAAAAATTATTGAGTTGTGAAAATTTGCTTTTAGAAAATACTCCGAGTTAACGTGTTCGTTCGTTTTCAATTATATGTAATAAATCCCCTCTATACGTATGACCCTCTGAAAGCGTTTTTTTATCGTTCCGCGAGCTATTGTATGCCAGCTGCCTTTTTTTCATTATAATACCTCATGCGCATAACCTTTTTAATGTGTCAGCATCTTTGAACGCCATGGTGTATTTCGTACATTAAATTAAATGGTGTATTTAGTACATTATATTGAAAACTTTAAATACGTTTTTCTCAAATTGACTTTTTTCAATGCGGTGCCACAAATTAAAAAAAAACTACAAGTCGGATCGATTTGCTTTTTTTTTAATTTGTTAACCACTGCAATTCTAGTCCCCCTACCTCAAACAACTTGAT